ATTTTCCAATACTCATTGATTGTCTCATTTTTAGTTGACAAATTAATGCTTTCAGTTTGCTGCATCATGCTTCTCTCCCTATCTTGGAATATATCAAAGGTTATTATATAAGCTTAGATTTGCTTCAATTGTGAATGTTGATAAGTCAAAGATAAGTTCAGCTCATCATGATACTCAACTTGTTCGAGAAACTTATTTAAAAATTGTTAGCTTATTTTTCTTATGAAGAAAAATATTATAAAGGTGATCGTTCTAGTAAGGATTGAAAAATCCTTACAGATTAAATTTAAGACAATTATCAAGTGATTGTGTTGACAGCTCTTTTGCCTCAATAAAGAGGACTTCAAAATTGTCAAGTGTAGAGAAAAGAAAAATTAAAAGAAGAAGGAGGGAGACGGAGAAAGATGATTGAGTGAAGAATCGGGGTGATTGAGTGAACAATCAAACTAACTATTAATTTACCTCTACTCCTATGCTTCGAAAAAGGAAGTGCATAAAATAAAGTGCAGAAAATTAACCTCTACTCCTATGCTTCGAAAATGAAGTGCATAAAATAAAGTGCAGGCAATTAAGTGTAGGAAATATAAATGATAAGAAAAATAGAAATTAATTGTCTTTGATTTGAGTTCTATGGTCCCTTTACAATGTAGCCATGAACGATTATTTATAGGCATACATTTATAGGAAAAAACTACCTAAGAACTACCCTATGCTTCTATCTCATTCGTTTCATACTCCATGATCTTCTATAACTTTCTTCAACCTCCACTTCATGCTCCGTGTTATCCTCTTTGTTCGCCATCATCTTTCCACATTTCATAACATCTCATAACATCCAAATGAGTAGGAATGTGCCACATGTCCTGCAATTATAATAAATAATAAATAATAATAAAATTACAAATTTATGGTGCTAACATTACCTCCTACGACCCCTTAAAAATGATGTTTACTTGAATTTTTAAATGGCCGAACCAAGCACATGACTAATCTAAGCAACAAAGTGCTTCGAATAATATCAACAAAGTGTTTTGGATGATATAATAGCACCAATAAAATGCTTCGAATGAGTATGACATTATGACTAGATGTCTCGAATTATATATATGCCTTGAAGGGATATTATATATGTGCTTCGAATCGGCATCAATCCTTTGAAGGAAATTAAACAATTTTGTTTTACTTGTGCTTCAAACAATTAGAAAACTTAGAACCTTTTGAAGTAGGCTGATGTTGTTTGCACTTAGAATCATTCAGAACCTCATATTTTCAAGACAAAGCCAATATCTAAACATGATTCACCTTAACAAGCTGTTACACATGCTAGCTATTATGGACTAGTAACGAACTTCGAAGGTATTATAGAGGACCAAAAATCACACTTTTATGGTCAAAGTGTTTATAAATGACCATATTTGTCATTTCGAAGATCTTGCAGCAAAGCTTCGAAGGATCAAAATCATCCATTGAAGGTTGGAGACATTGATATAGGACGAACATCATCTTTTGAAGATACTTATAATGAAGTTTCAAGGGACCAAAACTTCCTTTCGAAGGTCAAGAGTGATGCTAGAGGAACAAACTTTGCTTCGAAAATGTCACCACACACTTTTAACAAAAGCTTCGAGGAAGACCTTTAGAGCTTCGAGTGTGGGTTTTCAAAGCTAACATGTGTTCTTCATGGATACCATGCATCATATGTCATGGAACTTTATGTTTGCATGCACCCCAAATAATGTCATACACTCACAAATTCATTATAGGCCGAGTTTGGAACACTTGGCCAATCTATTTGAGATAAACATATGTCCAGGAATATAGACATGTGACCTTGGAAGTGTAAACCACAAACAATTCTGCATGTAAAAATAATTTTTTGGGCGGCCACTATTAGTAATGGACCAATATCATGCTCGGAGGTGTCAATAACATATGAAAATCATACTTTGAAGAAGTCAATAGCAGGGCAAAATCATGCTTCAAAGGCACCTGTGGCACGCTTCATAGGCCTATGAAGCTTCAAAGTTGTTTTAAGGCCATATAAGAAGACTAAAATTACTAAAAGATGTGGCTTCAATACATTAATATTGACATTGATTAGTAAATTACTTCGAAATATATAATGGTGTGGTAATGAAGTATGCCAATACGTATGACATCTGACTAGTTTTCGAAGGTAATATACTCAAACCAATAATTGGGTGAATACTTAAAGATTGAACCAAAACTAGGTCATTTTAAACAACCAATTGCCTATATATGGATGTACACACACACACACACATATATATATATTCGAAAGTAATCTCACTTCATGATATGATTTGAAGCATTATAAAGCTTCGAAAGTGAAGTAATCAACCTTCGAAACAACTCTTGATGCTTTGAATGTATCTTTGATGCTTTGATTGTGTACATAAAAGTCCCCAAATGTTCACAATTTTGTAGTTGAATGCAAGAGCCATTGTTTGACTACAACTGAAGCACATATACTGTCATTATTTTGCGCCTTAAAAAAAAAACAATTGGCCATCAATTTGAAAAGATAAGCCATTCTCAACCACTGATTTAAATGCATAGGATTTTCCTAGCCAAGTTAATGCATTTTAAATGGTCATATCCTATTCTTAGTGCTTCGAACTCATAAGAACAATTTGTTAATTTTATTAGCGACGTCATCAAAATTATATGTTGATGTGATCCAGAAATCCAAAGTAGGTTTTAAACAACGAAAAGTCATGACATAGTATAGCCTTAGAAATTCAAATGCTTTGACATTTTCACTAATGTCAAATATTTTAAATCCATTAACAGTGGGTTGATCATCATCTTTAATCACATTTGGTCTAAGAACATGTTCTTTGGCCAAATAACTTTCATCATTTATTAACAAATGAGGTTTCTTTTATATTTTAGCCATTAACGGCTTATGAAAATCCTCAATGTGAGTTTTATCATTTCTTGGTCTAATGGGTTGTTCCATTTTAGCCATTAATAGCTTATGCAAATTCTTCATAGACATGTTATTTCCATGGTTTGACTTTCTAAAAATGAGTTTTTCAACCCTCCGAGCCTTATATGGAACATTATTTTTTAACATGCTTGGCTCAACAACATGCTTTTTAGCCATGTCATGTTCATAAATTGGCTCTTTAAAAATGGGTTTTTTTAACCCCCTGAGCCATTGATGAAATCAACTATTTCCTTTTGCCATTTTCAACACTAAAAAATTCTAAAAAAAATTCACCAATTCCGGCCATTAAAGCCTCAGTTAAAGACTTGGTAGTGAGAGTTGACAACTCATCATTCCATTGGTGTATTTCCATATCAAGTTGAATTTCTTCAATTAAATGATGTCTTTTTTCTTCCACCAAATAATATTGTAATTGATGAAAGTTTATTTCATCAAGAACATGAATTTCTTCTTTAAAATCCAAATTTTTTTGTTTATGCCAGATTATTTCATCTAGGCTATTTGAAATGGACGAATCTACTTCATTTTTCATTTCTCACACTTGAAGTCCCACCGAGCGTGTTAAAAATTGTTGGCTTATTTTTCTTGCCAAGGCAAATGTTATAAATGCAAGTATACCAGTAAGGATTGAAAAATCTTTATAGATTAAATTCAAGTCAATTATCAAGTGATTTTGTTGACGATTCTTTTGTCTCAATAAGAGGACTTCAAAATTGCGAAGTATAGAGAAACGAAAAATTAAAAGAGGAAGGAGATGGAGAAGGATGATTAAGTGAACAGTCAGGGTGATTGAGTGAACAATCAAACTAACCATTAATTTACCTCTACTCCTATGCTTCGAAAAGGAAGTGCATAAAAGTGCAGAAAATTAACCTCCACTCCTATACTTCGAAAATGAAGTGCAAGAAATATAAATGACAAGAAAAATAGAAATCAATTGTCTTTGATTTGAGTTCTCTGATCCCTTTATAATGTAGCCATGAACGGTTATTTATACGCAAACATTTGTAGGAAAAAACTACGAAAAAACTACCCTATTCTTCCATCTCCTCCATTTCATACTCCATTATCTTCTCTAACTTCCTTCAACCTCTACTTCATGCTCTATGTTCTCCTCTTTGTTCTTCATCATCTTTTCACATTTCATAACTCCTCATAACCTTCAAATGAGTAGGAGGGTATCACATGTCCTGTAATTATAATAAATAATAAATAATAATAAAATTACAGATTTATGGTGCCAATAGAAATACTTTGAGATATTTTGTAGAGTTGATATTTATTTATTGATGTTCTTATATTATCTAAAAAAAATAAATAAATAGCTTACTATGTTAAAAATAAAATTTTCTTTCTGTTGTAGATAAATTTTTTTATTTACTTTGTATTTAGAGGAATAGTTGAAGTATTGAATTTTTTTTTTATATTATAAAATGCAATTAAACACCACCATCAAATAACTTCATAAACTGCATTAAATATTACCATTATCAGAGCTTCTCATGAAACAAGATTAGGTTTTTAGATACACCAATTCACTCATAATGATATGATAGGGAAGTAATTAAGCCTATATTCAACAAGAAAAATTATTCATCCCTTAATTTTGCTCCCTTCCAATTTCACCTTCAATGATGTAGAATTAGTGGACCTAAAATGAGAAAGAAAGAAGTGTGGAATCGCTTCCCTTTATATGAGTTTTAGCCACGTTATTAGAGATAGAATTGAGAGCCTCAATTAGGAGATATCTATATTTTATTAAAAAATTGACACATTCTAGATTAAATTGTGAAAACTTTTAAAAAGTCTCAAACATTTTCCTCTCATTAATTGATTGTCATGCGATAAAAGTAGAATTTAATTAGTAATTTTTTGAAGAATTCACCTGAAATATATGAAAAAACTTATAATTATAATTATTAATATTAATAAAATTTATAATTATTTTTCATTTGAAATTCCCCAAATTTTTTCTCCGATGAATATTCAACCAACCATATCAAATTGAGTCTCACAACTAATAAATGAATAAAAGGTAAATTGGGCCATGTGTTACACAAAATACTTTACTCAAAGGCAAAAAGCTCAGAGCTTTGACGGCCTCAGTGAGCCAGAGAACAACTTGGTAGCTTTTCTTCGATCCGACACAGCTCCTACAACACTTGTTGTGTGATCCACGCCCCCCTATTATCGGAACAAGAACCGATTCGTGTGTTCAATTGGACTGTGAAATTATTGCTAGGGTTTCTTGTTTTAAGCTTTGATGTTACCTCTTCACTCTCCGTTTCCCCTTTTACCAACTAAGGTTTGAGAATTTCTGCAATTATTTATGTGAATTACATCTATTTTTGTGTATCCAAGTGGTTATGGTTGCACAGTTTTAGATCTAATTGTCGTGTTCTGGATGATATTTGATTTTATTTCCTGCATTTTCTGATGAATTTGTGGAATTTCGAGTGTCAATTTTGCTTAATTCTAATCGATTCATTGTATTTTTGTCTATGTTTCTGTCACCATGTATGCTTTCTTCAATTTGTGCTACTAATTTTTTTGTCTGTTTGTTTGTTGTCATAATCATAAATATTGTATTGTGTTTGTGTGTGTGTGTGTGTGTATGTGCGTTTTTGAGCTCAATTAAGCACTGGAATTGGGATTAATTTTGGAAACTTATGGATAAGAATCATAATTTTGGATACCTATTACTTACTCCTAAAATTAAGACTTTTGTTTGGGTAAATTAAGCAGGCAGTACCTATATTTCGATTTTTGTGTCATTTTGGGCTAAATAATTTTAATTGACTTGATTTTGACTGTGAATTTATAATTTTGTTTCAATTTGGTCAAATTGATTGACATGTTAGTGTTTTTTGGTGGAAAATGTGTACATGAGCAACATGTGGCATACTTTTATAAACAAAATTGTAAATTGTTTTATTCAGTAAGGTAATTTCAACATATTCCTTCAAAAATCATAATTGGATTTTTCAATTGTACTTAATTGACACAAAATCTAAAATTACGGGTTAAAATCGAGCTAATTCAAATTACAGGGATTAAAATGATACAAGCGATAAAATGCAGGATTATTGATGTAATAATTTTCCCTTTTTTGTTTTTGTTTTTGTTTTTTCGTATTGGGAACTTGCTTATTGCTTACTCAGTCACATTGCAAATATTGATGCCTGGATTTAAGGAGTTATGGAAAATTTACTGATTTGTTCCCAAGATCTTCCTCAACCCTCCGTTAAGCAAAAACAATTTTTTGCATTTTTTGGCGTTTGATACTATGGAAAACGAAAGATGGTCAACAAAACACAATCATATTTGGACATAAAATGTTTTCCACTTTTAGAAGGCAAAAAACGATTTCCGCACTGAAGTTTTACCAATGTTACAATACCACCACTGTCACTCTCACTTTCACCACCACACCATGGCCATGGCCACCACCACCATCACCATCACCATCACTATCACTGTTGCTGACACTCCATCATCACGCGCCACCACCAAACATAAAGAAATATTTTCTCCGGAAAACATTTTCTAGAAAGAAAAAAAAAATTATGCTAACTTTTCTAGTATAAAAACGAATTAAAGTAACAAAAAAATGCAATTATATCTGCCAACCTCCATTGAATTTATGTGAATTTTTTTTCCGTCCAAACAAATGGAGTGCTAGTATACAAACTTTTGCTTAGTTGTTTACTGTGGGTGGGAACTGAATTTTATTCGATGACCACACGTGGAATTATATCAACCAACCTCCATTAAATAAAAGTTTTCATGAAAAATGTTTAATTTCAAATCATTTTAATTTCCCTCAATTTCAAAAACTTAAATCTGATTTATATTTTTTTGTTTACTAGATTTACTCTGAAGTAGTGTTAATCAGATTAACCTCAAATAGTAAACAAAAAGACTAGATTGCCTTCAAAACAGTGAACAAAAAGATTATATTAATCAAATGGTAAGCAAAAAGATTGTTTGACCCCCCGAATTCTATTTTTACGTACTTTTTTAAATTCAGCTTGATGCGATGGGGTCACATAAGAAATCCTACCCTGAACTTGTAAGTACATTATATATAGAGTGTTGGTTTTTTTTCCAATTTAATGGGGTCAGGTGACCACCCCAGTATCACACACCTAGCCCGCCCATGGTTGTGTATTTGAATAGTTCTTGAATTATTCGCTGGAAGTTCCAAATTAAATCTCTTCTTGTGCTAGAGTTTTCATTTTTTACCTTTGGTGGAGATGTGTTGTCTTCCCTTTGCATGCATTGCTTTCCTCACTCTCAGCTGTTCTCTTTGATTCTCTAAATTTCTCCAAAATCCTGAATTGTTCCACTACTAAATTACAATGCACTGTACTTTGTGTGTCTATAGATTTGCTCAACTGGCTGCATGGGTCGCGAGTTTGAGGCCAATTCTGTCATCGATCAGCTGGACCTTCATCTCCAGTTAAATGTGTGAGAACTGAATCTATCCGTAACTGCTCCAAATTCACATATATACATGGTTACTTTAGGGGAAGCTGCCCAAGATGAAGGTGGGTTCTGATAAATCACAGAAGAGAAAGAATCCAGATTCTACGTCACGATCCAATCAAGATGGGTTCTGATAAATCACAGAAGAGAAAGAACCCAGATTCTACGTCACAATCCAATCAAGAAGGAAACAATCTTTCTGTTTTGCCTAAGCAAGAATTGGGTGAACTGCAGAAGTCTCAGAGCCCCAATGCTGAGGTTTCTGTGTCACAATGCAATGAAGAAGGAAAAACTGAGAAAGTGTTGGAAAATTTGCAGAAGAGACAGAGCACTGATAGTACTAGTAGGGTTCGAACCTCTCACTCTCTAATACCTGAAAAAGTGTCAGATAATTTACAGCAGAAACAGAGCCCTGATACTGGGGTCTGTGACTCACAGCCTAATCAGGAAAAAATCAGTCTTTCTACAATACCTGAGAAAGTGCCAGATAGTTTGCAGTTTACCCTGAGCATTAATACTGGGTCTCATAGGTTACAACGTGATCAAGAAGGAAGGACTCCCCCTAGAATACCTGATAAAGCATTGGGAGATGGATATAACTGGCGAAAATATGGGCAAAAACTTGTTAAAGGAAATGAATTTGTTCGGAGCTATTACAGATGTACTCATCCTAATTGCCCAGCAAAAAGACAAGTGGAACGCTCGCAAGATGGGCAGATTACAGATACTGTTTATCTGGGGAAGCATGATCATCCTAAACCTCAACCTGGTCCCCCGATAGCTATTGGCTTTGTACCGCCCATCCAAGCAAAAAGACAAGACGAGCGTCCTTTAGCTACTGTAGAGGGTAAGAAATAAACATTATTGCTGATTTTTGGCTTTGAAACTCCACGCATAAATTGATTGACTTCTTTGGTGACCTCTTATTTAAAGATAAGACATCCAATGCACATGGTCTGAAGTCTCACCATGCCAAACCAATGGAAACCGCTCGGCTTCCTACTAATGCAGTAACTGATGATGCTGTGGAAAGTGCAATTTCACAACGTAATAGAACAAGAGAAGAGAGTGATCACAGAGGCGATGTGGATTCAAAGAGACAGTATGTCAAAATACAAGCTTTTGAATTTTGTTCTCTGTTGGTATTTCCATGGGCTAACCCTTCATCAGTTACCATAAAAATATTGCAACAGGAAGAGAGACATTTGTAGCATTGACGAGACTCTGGTCGATAAGCCACATGGTGAACCAAGGGTTGTTCAAACTAGGAGTGAGGTTGATTTTGTGAATGATGGCTACCGCTGGCGCAAGTACGGACAGAAAATGGTAAAAGGCAATCCAAATCCAAGGTATATTTAATCATACTAATTCTGATAATCAGTAACAGAAAATTTACCTGTTAAGCTTTCCTCTGTACCTTTGTTGCGTCTTCTGCTTGTTAAAATATGTTCTGACCTAAGAAACACGACACTTCTAAGAAAGCAGCGGGTCATGTCTGACTCTGTTCAGACACTGGCACGACACTCACGGGACACTTCTTGACCCTTGTCAAACACACCTCAAAAGTATGTTCCACTATGTAACTTTTTTTTTTTTCCCCCCCTCTAAACTCAAACACAATTTAAGCACTTTGAGAACACATGCAAGTTTGAATAAAACAACTTAAAATCCAATGATAAAAGAAAAACAATGTAAATTTATACTTATTTTTCTTTTTTACAGTGTAGAAATTAGTGTTACATATTATTGGTATTGTATTGGAATTAAATAGCATTGTATAAAACATGACACTTCTAAGAAAGCAGCGTGTCATGTCTGACTCCGTTCAGACACTGGCACGACACTCACGGGACACTTCTTGACCCTTGTCAAACACACCTCAAAAGTATGTCCCACTATGTAACTTTTTTTTTTTCCCCCCCTCTAAACTCAAACACAATTTAAGCACTTTGAGAACACATGCAAGTTTGAATAAAACAACTTAAAATCCAATGATAAAAGAAAAACAATGTAAATTTATACTTATTTTTCTTTTTTACAGTGTAGAAATTAGTGTTACATATTATTGGTATTGTATTGGAATTAAATAGCATTGTATATGACATAATAATGTTTATCCTTATGTCGGTGTCATGTCACGTGTTTGTGCTTCTTAGGTTTTGACAATGTGATCGTCAGTAACTGTTACAGAGTATAATTGTCTCTTGAAAGGTCTAAGCATTGGGCTGATTATAGAAATGGACAGAGATTTGCACTTAATCTTTCTAACTTCTATGCTTAGCTTCACGGCTTGCTCGCCGTCCTCCAGGGCTTTTGGTAAATTATTGAATTATGCTTATTTTTGGTTAAAGACTTGGTAGAGTTTACCTAAACCTCATAATGGGGATTGCGAGGGGTGAGTGGTGCACCGCAATATATCCGCTATCTATCTACAGCCCATATATCAGAAAATTAGATGAGGCCGTGATGTCAAGAAATTATCAATTTTTAGTGGTTCATGGAATTTAGAGGTTATTATAATTATGATTTTAAAAATGTGGTTGAGTATGTTTCGTTTCTCTGAGTTGGAGTTTTAGACCACTATACAGCTATCGTAATTAGCATTATAAATGAACCTTCTAAGTTGATTATCAAGCAGGGCTAGTCTAGTGGTGGGGTCAACGATGCACTCGTCTCGGCTCTTAGGTCCTGGCTCTACTCATAATGTTTGCTGGACAGTCTTGTAGCCCAATAACAGGAATAGTGGTTTTAGTAGTTCCTTAATACCTTAATACTAATCTGTTTATTGTCAAAAAAAGCCTTTAACTGGTTAACACACAAAAACCAGACAGGCCAGCGAAGGAGAAATTGTAGCGAGGAGCTATTAAGGAGTGACTTTGTTGAAGCTTCAAAAGTAGAGCTAAAGCTTGTGATGACTTCAAGCGAATTCCACATCTGTGCCAAGAAAGACAAAATAATATGCATTCAGTAAATGACAAAAAAAAATTTCTATGTCGGGCAACATGCTATAAGATTCGTTCTGTGGTTGTGCAGGACTCTGGGCTAGCTGTTATGATATGCTCATGACAACAAAAGCGATCCTCATATATATAATAATGTTTGTAAACCGTAGACCATGGCTCAACCAAAAGGACGGTTGACCTGCGCTGAATATTTCTATTCATTGTTGGAGATAAGATTATATTTTCAAAGATATTATAAGATATAGAAGATATGAGAATATATAGAGATCTCATGATTTGTGCATATTATGATTCTTTTGTATGTTTCAAACAAGGCAATTGGAACCTGCTTATGGTCTGGAAAACCATTACAAATGGACTATCAGGGATTGTCTGTTTAATCAATGATCTTGTAACTTTTTTTTCTCCTCTAATTTCGCAATGGTTGGGCTTTCTTTTTCATCTCTTTAATTGTTCTTTCATGAGCTCTATGATTCATGTAAGTTTATATGTGTCATGTAAGTTTGCAGAACTCCAGCAAACTTCTTTCTCTTTCTCGACTTCTAACTCCTTTATGATATATATATGTATATTTTTGTGATTTAATCTAGTATTTTTTTGAACAAAGATTTAATCTAGTATCTTCCTCCTTTTTGAAGTATTTGCACCAGACTCCATACTTTTATCGAAGTCAATTTATTCCCCTGGAAATATGAAATGTCTTAAAAGTGATCCAATTATTATGCGATCTCTACAAATTTGTAAGATTTTCTCTCATTCTAAGTTTTTAAATTTTATAAAATCAAAGGGCATTGCTTTGTGCAGTGATAAAAAAGCATGGCCAGGTATCAAAATTTGGGTTTGGTCCAAAGTCAGTCACTTTGTAGAAATAATGCATGTTAGGTTCGTATTTGCACACCAACACTAAAGAATGGTCCTTGTCATCATGATGAATATTTGTTTTTGATCTGGGATTCAAAAGCATTGATGTCTATCGTCCTAGGCCCCGAGAGACCTTTAGCACCTTAGTGCGCCTTGAGCCTTTAAAAACACTGATCACATCATTTGGTATTAATTGAAAAATTAATCACTGTATTAGGACTCTACTCATTGTGTGCAGTTGTGCAAGTTTTTTATGATTCCCAGATTTCTTATTTCACACATATATACCCAAAAAAAAAACTTGTCATTTCTTGCTTACTGTATTTCTGTTCATGCACTGTAGGAGTTACTACAGGTGCTCAAACGGTGGTTGCCCGGTGAAGAAACATGTGGAGAGGGCATCCCATGATCCAAAAATGGTCATTACCACATATGAGGGACAACATGACCATGACATTCCCCTTGCTAGGACGGTAACCCCTAATACAGCAGGAACGAATACTAATATAAAAGCCCTCAATGGTGAGTCAAGATCTACACCAGAGGAAAAAAACACGGTTGGTCTTGAAGTGGCGGTTCATATTAGTGCAAAGTGAGGTTACAAGTAGTTGATGAAGAATTGTCACATGTGCAAGCTCTCAGCAATGGTGTTGATTAGCCCAGACCAGGTGTGTACATAAGAATTGTATTTCATCTTCTTCCTCTTCTTTAATTTTTTCCCCGTTTTTTGAACTCTGACTTGAATCGGGCCTCTGATGAATGGTAACAAGTGGGAAAACCTTTAATGGGTGTAAAAATTGTTCTAGAAATAAAAATGTAGATGATGTGCATTTGTAAGTTCTACTTTCTTAAGCTCTTTAGGCTGTTTCATGTTTACTGCAATTTTGGGAATAATCATCTTCATGTTAACGAGGAATCTTGTTCCATGATCAGTAAATATTTGAGCTTTTAACATTCTTGTGTAATATGAATTTTTTTAAATTCAATTTTTTTGATCAGCGATGACTAGTATATTAATGATGTGTTTAGTTGGGAGATTTGGGGAGGGAGAGAAAGGAAAAAGGTGTGTGAAACTATGTGAAATATAGACATGATTTATTCACATTTCACCTATCTTTTCCATTTCCCTTTCCAAATCCTTCTCCAAATCCCCAATCAAACACAGCATAAGGCTATGTTTGAATTTTAGATTTGATAATGAAATACTAATATACCATCATTCTTGAATCACAAGTGTCTGGGTTCTATGAAGCATATATGCTTCTAGAAGGGAGATGTATTAGTTACCGATACTCCTTTGTATACTTGTGGATTTTCAAGTATCGGATACTTGTTCATAATTAATATCGGACACTTTTTATTAATTAATTTTTCATTTATTTTTAAGTATCAAATACTTTTAAGTCATAATAGAATTTTTATAAAATTATAATTGTAGCATTTCTTGCATAGCATTATAATATAATTGTATAGATAAATGTAATAATATATTTTTTAATATTTTACTGCGTTGATAAGAAAAACATAGATAATACCCACAATTTCTGAATTTGTTGAATTAACGTGTCATGTTGTGTTTTGTTTCATGACAAATGCTCATTGAAATATTTGTAAGACTTGTAGAAATCATAAAATGTAAATTAGTTTCTAGTTTAAATTAATATCTAATACTCAAAAGACTAATATTTTGTATTAAAAAATTGTATTAGTGATTTCTCAACAATCTTGCACAACCACAGGCTGGTTGGCCTGGTGGGTGCCCACTGAGGTTTGGAGGTTTACTTTCTCTCAAATCTCAGGTTTGAATTTTCTAGTCAGCAAACTCATACCTTGTGGCTACGGATCATAGTGCGTAAGCCCTGTTTTGCAAGGCTTATTCGGGCTGTAAGGATTTAGTCTGATGCACATAAGTTGGCCAAAGATAATCTACAAAACCCAAAAAAAAAAAGTCCTGTACTTGTGCAGCTCATTACTAAAAATTAAAATTATATTATTATTTACAAACATATTCTGGCTGTGTCCTATTATCCTAACGTCATATCCATATTTTATCTATATCCTATTGGCATATTCTATTATCCTATCGTCATATCCATATTTTATCTATATCCTATTGGCGTATTCATGTTGTATCCATATCTTGTATCTGTCTTTTCTAGTCTAGGTTGCAGCAGCTGCCAGGTGGAAATGTTGCAAGGAAAATTTTTAGCTATTTAGAATCATAGAAAATGATGGAAGATTTCTTACAACTCATCTTTTACAAGGACTGACACACATGGACTACTTGCACATGACTTTCCTTCCATAAGAGAGTCCTTTTCTATCTACTTGTTGGGCTTCTAGTCAATGTATTGCAGAGGGATAAGGATAGCAGATTATGTGGACTTCATTAGTAAACTGTCATCATTGTTGAGTTCTACAGATCAGAATTGGGCACAGCATATGAAAGAAAAACAGTACATTCCATACCAAACAATTAGCTTGTATAAATTCATTATCTAATTTGCAGTAATACACAAACTGGCTCTGAAAACTCAACATTCACTAGGAGAGCATTCATTTTCTGCAAAGTGCATGATTGCTCAAAACGAAGGCTGTGTTGGTCTGCAGATAGGATAAGGCGAAGTAAGATGTCCCAATGAGGGTATTTTAGCCATTTTGCTATGAAGTCGGATAAGTTGTCCCACTATCCCTGGGATAAGGAACAAAATTATCCCACATATGTGAGATAAAAGGACCCCAAATAATGTGGATGAGGCTACATAAAAGACGATCTCAAAGTAAGTAGCTGATTTTGATTGATTAAAGGCGCACACAGCCAAGGGAACCTATTCTTGTGAACTATTTTAGTAGCCGACACATAAAAATTAAAGGTTCTACCTCAGCTTTCTGTCTCAAATCCATAGAAAAAAAGTACATCAATGCACAGTTTTCTACTCCCAAGCACAAGAAGCTACCAAATCTCTTTTCATCCAACCAAGATACAAAGCTCCATCTCTCTCTTCAAGTCTGTATTTGTCACAGTAGTTGACTAGCAATGTTTTGATGGTAGCATTTACCAAAGAGCTCAAAGGGTATGGTTTAAACCCTGCCATTCTAAACCTCGACTTCCACTTCCCAAGAAGCTCATGCCGTTCCACCCTCTCTGTCCCCTCGCATGCTATCACATTCACAACATCCCGTGCCAGGCAATGCTGCTCGACATTGATTCGCTCTTTATGTTCCCTTGGAAGTGTCACATCAATTGATTCGAACATCGCCGTATAGTAATCCAATGCTTCTAGGAACCGAGGAAAGAATGCAGCGGTGTTCGTGTTTGATTCCTGCTCGACTAGGGTCACCACTTTTGGGGACAAGCTCTTAACAAGCCTCAAAAGCCGGTCCCTATGGTTCTGAGTACTCACGCTCTCATCCGGCATGTGGTGGAGCATGAATGCGAAATTCACGGCAAGAGCCTCCCCGGGTCGAATCCCGAGATTCTCAAGCTCAACTTCACAACCCGACATGGCTGCGCCATGGAACTCAAATGGCACCTTAAATGACTTGGCAAGCCTAGTTAGCCTGTGTCCCACTATGTTCATTCCTCCTCCACGTGCGTAAGCTGATGTGGAATCATCGATACCCGTAATACGGATGTGTGGTGGCCCACCGGGCCGGGCTGCAAAAGCTTGGATTAGAGTCACCCACTGACTCCCCTGAGCGATTTGGAAGTCGATGATGTGAACCCTATTTTCATCCTTCATTGCCTCTGCAATGGCACCATTAGCAGACATGTATCCAAACTTGAAGTAAGGGCAAACCTCATAGAGAATATGCATGTAGGAGAGAAGATCTGTGCTTGCCGGTTCTTTGCATCGCAAGGATTTGTAGATCAAACTCCCCGAAGAGGCCAATCTTGCGACAAGCCCTTCCAACATGTACGCTCCTAAACGTTGAATCGGTTCACCAGACACTGACACCATTTGGCGTAACTCAGCCATCAACCATTGTGAAGTCAACATGTCATTTTCTGATACCGCTTTTGCACATGCGATGAGAATTTGTTTCAAGTCCCTTTTGGGGATAGCTTCCATCATTTGTCTCCAGCTTTCTATCTTTGGCGAGGCTATTTCATAACTGTCGAGTTTATCAGAATCAGGCCCGAGCATTACGGTTTCCAATTCACGTAGCTTGTACCTAAATTCATTGACATCGTCAGTTACGCAAGACCCACTTACAGGGGACCCATAGTTATTGTCTTGCTGTGACATGGGACTTCCATCGGGTGAGAAACTGGCGGTTGATGGTGAATTGTAAACAGTGTAACAACTGGTTGGTGAGGATGACTCGAGGGTACAGTACTTTTCAAGGGAAGTTTGAATCAAGGAGTGACTTCCGTGGCTGCTGTTACTATAGCATAACTGGTGGTCCAAAGCTTGACATTGAGGCAAAGAATAGGCCTCAACGTCTTGCATTGGCTCATAGTATAATGCGTTGGACATGACGGATCTTGTGTGTTGTTGTGAAGATTGCATCAAAGAGGCTGCCTGGCCGAATACTAGTCAAGGAATATCTGATGTACTCTTTTTCCTTGATTGACTGCTATCTGAAATTGACAAAAAGAGACAATATCAAAGATTTGATACCTTACCAAGGAAGTTGGAATTCATGGCTTCAATTCTGGAAGGTTTTGATTTTCCTTAGAAAAAAAAGCAGATGAACAATTGACAACAAGAGCATCCAAAGTTAGAGAATCAGCAAATCCAGAATTTGAATTTCCAGTATCCTATGTTACATGGACTCTGGTGGAGTGTTGGGCGGGTACGTGTCCAACTGTCATATCCATCTAACTTTCATGTCCAATGACAATAGGGCACGACTGGATTTCATATTTCTTAAATACTTTCTTTATGGATTAAATAGGAGTTTTATGCATACTTATACATAAACTTGACTACTTACGCATACTCAAAGAGTGCATGACGAACTAAGCATACCCTACAAATCTCATACCGCTGTTTTAAGTGTCGAGTGTCTGACACGGGTACTAAACGACTGGAGAAGAGTGCATGTAACATAAAGGGTATCTCATACTACGCAAACATAATTACAATGAAAATTCTAGTTTCCTATGCTGGATTTCCATTTGTAGGTGGAAATTAGATGCTTTTAAAGCCAAAATGCGACCTCTTATAAAAAATTGTTATTTCAGTTTTACATCATTAAACTAACTTTCCATCTTCAAAGATCAACAAAGAAATTGGAAGTGATCAGTGCGTGCAAGAAGCAAAGCATATCAGAAAAAAAGAAAAAAGAAAAAAAAGAGAGTTCGACATGAGTCTGATGAGAGATCAAAGAGAAGATTTCTACAACAAATTGACAACTTCAAACCATCCAGTTCCCCTTTTTAATCACAGTACACACTTTCCCATTTCTTTTTTGTCAAATGAGGAGCAATCTCAATCTCAGCAACTTTCATAAGTCATAACCAAATATTAAATCATTTTTTATTTTTTTTTTTAAATTTTGATTTAAAAGAAGAGATCGCATGCTGCAATTATTAATTTGATCTCCTATGTCCTTTTTCAATAATAATACAAAAATAAAATAAAATAAGCATACCACCGCGGAATTACCACTCCAAATTCTAATCTAATTGAATAAGACTTTCAACATCATCAAGTCTTAAAAAGTATTACAAGTCGTTTTTCTCAATCAGCCAACAATTTCAAACCAAACAACTGGGGGAGGGGGACTAGAAGGTCAAGAGTTCGAAAATAAGCACCAAAAATATATATTTTTGCACAAAAAAGAAAATAATATGAAAATGATTAGTATTTTTGATTTTTTTAATTATTTTTTCAAAAAAAAAAAAACTGATTCAGAAATCGAAACCAAACAAATTCAAGAGAATGGCAAAATAACCCGACCCGATTGTATTTGACCAAATCCGATTCTAATAGAAAATGTTTTAAGAGAGCATTGATGCAGTAGGGTCGAGTCCAAGGTAGGTAGGTTAAAACTGTCAAGATTAGGTATTGTTTGTCATGTAGTTGAGCTTAAAATGAATAATTCGCACGAAAAATCCGCCCGTTGTCATAATATCAGGAACATGTAATGTAATTGGGCATTCCAGTAAAATACTCTTCAATTTTTTCAACATCAATTGAACATATTATCAACACCCTTATGGAAAAAGTCAAAGGTGGAACCACATTAGGCTGACAAGAACATAGTCCAAAACTGTAAAATAAAGACCAAAGGCTCAACTTTAAATACCACATCAGATAAAATTAATTACAGAATAAACTTCATTAAATCCCATTTTCTTAGTTTCATTTCCACCAACACTTAATACCAACTACACAAACAGAGATTGCAACTTTAACAACAAATGAACAAGCTCATAATCAAATCATATACTTGAATTGAACAAAAACTCTCAAACAGAAATAAACATCAAACAGAACAAAAACACAAACACAAAAGTAAACCTTCAATTCAAGTCATCATGAGAGAGAGAGAGAGATGAATGTAAAGGAGACCCACCTTCCACAGATCTATCACCAACCCATTTTCAGAAACTTGATAATCTCCATGAAATTTTAGCTCAGAGCTCAAGATTTTGCCAAGAAAGTCCTGAATTGATACCAAATTATCACAAAAACTACCCCTTAAAACAGAGTCTGCAAAGCAGCAACTAGAAAATAACTACGGAGTTGAGAATAATTTCATTTTTCAAATAACAAATGGATAGTCGGTTCAACAAACCCACTCTAATCGACGAATCTCAAGATTCCATATTCCACTCCGAACCAGAGTTGGAGAGAGAGAGAGAGAGAGGAGCATAGAGGCCTATGTGAAAGTGAAGCACCTGTGCATTATAAAAAGATTAGTTTAGCCTAAAGCCCTTCAATTTTCCTCAAAATACATTACTGCCACTGAGTTTCATTATTGAAAATGTTAATATTAGCATCTTAGTTTTATCTAAAAATACCCTCGCATTAATTTTTTTTTTATAAAAAATAGTTACCATTGTGGCCTCATTTGCTACATTGGTTAAAACTCAGTTTTTAATTTTTAATCTATTTTGAGTCATATCATTTTTCATATTTTTTTATATATAAAAAATAAAAAATAAAAAAAATTAACTTTTAACAAATTTTTCAAAACACCCTATAAAATATGAGTAGTATGATCTATGACATTAATATTGTAAAATGTAATATTAAATTAAGTATAAAATAAGAATAATTCTTAGTATATAAAATTTGATCACAAAATTAAATAGAATTCGTTAAGAGCCGTGCTTCAGACCCCCAGTGGGGGTCACACCCCTAGTGACGTGGTAGCATGGGGTTGGTGGAAAACATTGAAAAAAAAAAATAGTTTTTTTTTTGGACCAATCACACGCGACCCCCAGTACCCCCACTGGGGTCCGAAGCTTTTTCCAATTTTTTAACATGGGATGAATCCCGCCAAATGTCTAAGTTCTGATTGAGTGTGTTTGTTTTGAGAGATTATTCCATGAGATTGGACTATTAGTCATAGTCCATTGTTTGATTAAATTTTTTTGCTCCGAATTAATAGTCTCTCTGGGCTATTATATGAGGGATTATTGCATCCTAGGGGGAGGGGTGGGTTTATTTCCATTAGATTGGTATCCCATGTGACTAATGTGTGAAATGTTCATTTTACCCTCATGCTATTACTTAATAAACAATTGAAAAATGATAAAATAGTCTTTTGAACATTTATAAATTATTTTTTTAGTATTGTTAATTTAAAATTATATATTAAATAAAAAAATTAAATTATAAATTATAAACTAAATTTAATTAAAAATAATAAATTAAAAATTATGGCCTTATAAATTAATTTCTTTTAGTGTTGTTAAAAAATTAAATTTACATATTTCTCTAAAATTATTTTTTTAGTGTTGTTAATTTAAAATTATATATTAAATAAAAATTATAAATTATAAATTAAATTTATTTAAAAATAATAAATTATAAATTATGGCCTTATAAATTAAATTTTTTTAGTGTTGTTGAAAATTTAATTTATATATTAAATAAAATTATTTTTTATTGTCGTTAATTTAAAATTATATATTAAATAAAAATACCAATTTTTTTTTTTTTTGGGTTTTATAAAATAGATTATTTGTGTTTTTAAAAATAAATAATATATATATATATATATAATGTTATTTATATATTATTTTTATTCACAGTTTTTTGAGAATTTAGAAAATAATTTAAAGGTGTTTTTCTTAAAATAGAGATTTTTTTTTTAAATCACTGAAAATAATTTTTACCAATAAAATTTTTAAACAATTTTTATTGTAAATTTTTATTTTTTGTTAAAAAATATTTTCCAAAACAAAGCCAAACAATTAGTAGTTTGTGAGATCTTGTGGATACAAGCTAGGAGTAGTTCTAGATACATTTTCAAAATTTATCTTAATACTCAACTCCCTCGCATATGTTAGGGCCACTACACTGTCATATCACGAAGATGGGGTGCAAAACAAAATTTGGAAATTACATTTAAAAACACCCATATATAACATATATTACTTGCATTTGAGTGCGAAAGTTTCTCATCACACCCTCCATGTAAAATTATGATTTTTAATGAGTAAATTCTTATCGAAAGACGAGTGAGCGTATTTTAAAAATATTCATAGCATATTGTGATTTTATATATACTTTTTATATCTTCTTTTACTCCTATTCGTTAGAGAATAATTCTCTATCATCTTGTTTGATTATTGGGATTTGATATAAAGGTTTAGGAAGATGTGTAATATTTGGAGATATATGATGAGATATAATATATTTAAAATATGAGCTGGATTATATATATATATATTGTGTCATTACTTTTATTATGTTTGATTATGAGAGAATATAATATGGGATAAGAAGAGATTAGTTATTTTTAACTACTAGGTATAAATGCTAAATTTAATATGGTAGTGGAGGATATGCAGTACCATTGGGAGAGGGACAACAGGGTGTTCTTGTGTGGCTCTATGAAGACGTACCCAAGTTTATTTTAATGATCTGAATCGTTTATATTATAAAGTTCGTTGAACATATTATCTATGAAAAAAAATTAATTTAATCAGACATATACAACTCTATGATCAAATCCTAACTATTTTAAAATAAATTATCAAAATTATGTTAATTGTTTATCTATACTATATATTAAGCAAAAGGGGGTTTTTATCCCCCAAGGCTCGTGGGAGCTCCAATATACTAATCCTAATTTTCTAATCCTAATTTTCTAATTTTTTGTTTTAAAAAAAAAAATTAATCTCAGCATTTATTAATTTCTTTCAACCCACAAGACTTTTTGACTTCTTTCATAATTGTTGCAGTACCTTTTCCAAAACAAATAATTTGTATATTAAAAACAATTTAAAACAAATATAAATATCTATATATATATATCTATCTATTTATTTATATCTATCTCTAACCTACAAGTTTTGTGAGAGTTCTAATATTTGAACCTTAATTTCTTAACTTTTTTGATTTTTTTTTGAAAAAAAAATTTAGCAATTATTAAATTCTTTCAAATCTTTTTAACTTCTCCACCATACACACTCTTTTTAACTTTTTACATACCTATTGCAAACAGTGGGTCTCATTTTTATTTTCTCCTTCTTGACTTCTCACTTCTACACTTTCAACTTCAGTGACCACGTATGCAAACAGTAAGTTTTTTTTTGTTTTCTCCTTCATGACTTTTCCTTTTGTTTACTCTTTTAATATTGTAGTTAGATAGCGCATAAAAATATTTGTGATTTTTCTAGCGAATAAAAAAATTATAATTTGATTTTTTAATATGATTGAAATTAGATAAATATAAACCCTCACAAAGAGAAAAATGTGATTATAATTAGTTGAATGATTCTTTTTTTTTAAATCTGATTGTAGTTAGTTTAATAGTTCTTTTTTTTCATTTATTTCTTTTATTATGAGAAAAATGTGATGTGATTGTAATTTGTTCAATGGCTCTTTTTTTTAATATGATTGTTGTAGTTAGTTCAATGGTTTTTTTTTTAATGTTATTTAATCTTTTTATTTACTAATTTAATTTTATTTTTAATATGATTGAAGTTAAATAAACATAAACACTCATAAAGAAAAAAATGTGATTGTAATGTGATGTGATTGTAGTTTGTTCAATGATTCTTTTTTTTAATATTATTGTTGTAGTTAGTTCAATGGTTTTTTTTAATGTTATTTAATCTTTTTATTTACTATTTTAATTTTATTTTTAATATGATTGAAGTTAAATAAACATAAACACTCACGAAAAAAAAAATGATCGTACTTAGTTCAATGGTTCTATTTTTTTAATGTGATTGTAGTTAGTCAATGGTTCTTTTTTTTATTTATTTATTTTTTTATTATGAGAAAAATGTGATGTGATTGTAGTTTGTACAATGGTTCTTTTTTTTTAATGTGATTGAATCTTTTATTTACTGCTTTAAAGGTTTTTCTTTACAATTATTTATGAAAAAAATATTTGTGATTTGATTTGATTTTTTTCTGATCTGATTTTTAAAGTACCAATTATTGATAATGATTAGATTGTATTTTGAAAAAAAAAATTGTAATTGATTTTTTTAACTCACTGTGTTTTTTGAAAAAAAAATTATTGTATTTTTTTAACTATCAATTCACTTAATTTGTGATTTGATTTTTAACTCATTGTGTTTTTTGAAAAACAAAATGGATTGTACTCATTAGGATCACATAATATACCAATTATTGATGATGATTAGATTGTATTTTGACTCAAAAAAAATTATAATTGATCTTTTAACTCACTATGTTTTTTGGAAATAAATTATTGTGTTTTTTAATTATCAATTGACTTAATTTGTGATTGATTTTTTTAATTATTGATGATAATTAGATAGCATTAAAAAAAATGTGATTTGTATGATTGAAGTTATCTCATTTTGTTTATAATTTTATTTTTTAATATGATTGAAGTTAACTTACAAAAAGAAAAATGTGATTGTAGTTTGTTCAATGGTTATAAATAATATTTTTATTTACTATTTTAATGGTTTTTTTTCAATTGTTATTTTTTTATTATGAGAAAAATATGATTGTAGTTAGATAGTATTAAAAAAATTGTGATTTGTATGATTGAAATTATCTCCTTTTGTTTATATTTTGATTTTTTTAATATGATTGAAGTTAGATAAACATAAACACTCACAAAAAGAAAAATGTGATTGCCGTTTGTTCAATGCTACTAAATAATCTTTTTATTTACTATTTTAATGGTCCTTTTTTTGAATTATTATTTTTATTATGAAAAAAATGTGATTGTATTTAGATAACATTAAAAAAAAATGTGATTTGTATGATTGAAGTTATCTCCTTTTGTTTATAATTTAATTTTTTAATATGATTGAAGTTAGATAAACATAAACACTCAAGGGGGTTTTTAAGGAAAATGGGGTTTTTAACCCCAAGGCTTGTGGGAGCTCCAATAGCCCAATATAAATTTTCTAAATTTTTTATTAAAAAAAAAAAAACTCAGCATTTATTGATTTAGTCAAAATCTCCTGATCAGCATTTATTAAATTTTTTCAATCCACATGCCTGCATTTATTGATTTAGTCAAAATCTCCTGATCAGCATTTATTAAATTTTTTCAATCCACACGCCTGCATTTATTGATTTGGTCAAAATCTCCTGATCAATATTTAAAATCCCCTCATACAAATAATTATAGATACAATCTGTGTATACTTACTGCAGTATCCTTTTCAACTTTCTCATATATTACGGTTAG